AAGGAGGGGAGATTGTGGGGAAGCTGGGATAAAACTCTGGGAGTGTCGGCATATGAATTTATTAATAGTTCATGAATGTATCTTCATTCTATAAAATGTGATTCCAGTTTGATGATTGTTAAATTCTCTTTTGCCTAAAAGGCTATTTATACATATAGCCTATCAAACTATCTATGAAACATTATTCTCATATGCAACATGCTATAGGGTTTTTACTGTTACATTACCAGTATACCCGTTGGTAAAAAACGAGTAGATACAAAAGCCCTGCAAATAGTGGCTGCTTACAGTCTCATCACCCTAAAGGATGAAGTTAAAAGCACTCCCACACCATCAACAAGCGAATATTCTCACAAAAAATAACATAAGCCATACGACTTTCATTGATCGCACACCCCTGGGGAACAAATATTACTTCCTACAGCAGCACCGAGATAAAACACAACAGAAATAAGAAAATACACATTAAACTACAAAAACAAATAGTAAACAATACAAATATAAGAATCACTATAAGAATAACGCCAGTTTGTTAATGTACCACCACTGGTATATACAGCTTTTTATTAGCATGAATGTTATTTGATATCGGCCACACTTGCACTGGTTACTAGGGTTAAATCAGAATCAGTACTTTATTGTCCCAAGATAAGGCTTTTTACACATAGGAGGAATTTGTCTTGGATCACATTAAAATATACAATCACACAAAAATCACAAGAATAAAGTCCTTTTAAAATATAAATAAAGAAAGATCACAGAATAGGTAAGAAAAGATAGAAGTACTGTACATCGAAGACGGGAGTCGCAGATAGCATCAGAATAACGATACCGATAGATTAACTCAGATAGATACCCGCATAGATAACCGATAAGCACTAGATATTCCCGACCTACCGCCGATACGATAATGATACCGAAGATATGATACGATAGATACGATAGATACCGATAGATAGGATATGATAACGATACATCTTATTAATCCCCTTGGGGGAAAATTCAGGTAATCCCAGACAGATGCTCAGATTGTTCACATAAAAACTACTACCCAAAAAACACAAAAACGACGGCAAAAGGGTTAAAAAACAAACAAAATAAATGAATACAAAATAAGACAATAAGACCTACTCGTTCCACACTCAGCTGACCGCCCACACAGCAGGCCAGACTTTGTCGCTCTGTGTGTTGAGGTGCTTCCAGGGCACGTACCTGTCTGGTTTCCTCAAGTACACATTCTTTAAGCTAAAACAGCACGACTGCTGCTGCAGCTACAGCACAAAAAAGTTTCTGTGTGGGTTTATCACTACTAATGACAATGAAAACACACATTGATATAGCAGCATTAAATAAACTAAATAATCAAGAGTACAGGAGAGTTGTCACTGCTCAGTCTCCACTCACATAAACACTGTGTAAAGCTCTAATTGCTACCACAATGGAGTACAAGGAGCTCTTTAAACAGTGAGGGCGACCAAACAAATGAATGGGTCTCTCATTAACATGCATGAAGCTGTTAACTCACTCAGAATGAGCGTTAAGAAATGAGAGGAAGCTTTTTCGGATCTGTGAGGGAATTTTATTTAATTAGATTCATCACAGTAGAGTTAGACCATGGACTGAATAGAAACATTTTAATATTTGTGCATTTTGAACCTTGAAATATATATAATCAGAAAAGAGCGGTGTACAATATATCAGATAATCACAGTTAAAATGGATGTGATCAGTGGTTTTCAT